TAGGCCTAAAATTAACTGTAAAATAAGACACCAAAGTAATTCAGTCTGTGATTCCTTAACTCATATTTTTACGTAGTTTCATATATAGTGCAGAATTTATGGCTTTTGGTTTAGTGTGCCCCTAGGAAAATTTTCTGGGGGCGCCACTGGTCTATAGACTCATGTTTTCTTCTCCGTTTTGCTCATCTCCTGACAGGAGTTCATCAACTAATCCGGATGTTTGTTCAACACAATAGAAGGGTTAAGAAAAAGCAAGGGTTTATGAGTAAGGATGAGAGGAGAGAAGAGTAAAGGAGGTCTATGACGTCAAAGAGTAGTTGGTGGTATACATAGCCTTATCTGTAGCCTGTATCCCATGGTTACCATATGCCGAACACAGCTGGGAACCTGGGCCGGAGAAAGCAGGGTGACGCACTAGACACAAACACACTGCAGGACAGCTGGCACCCAACACATATGCACGCAAACGCACCTTTATCCGCACCAGTGCAATTCCACTGTACCTGCATTCAGCGCTAACGCCTCGCTCACATGGGGGTGGTGTTTCTAATTCCATCCTGGGTTAGAGAGAACACAGAAGGCTAATATCTGCAGAATCTCCAACTGGGAGAGGTAACACACCTCTATCCCCATGAGATCATCCTGGCGGAGAGAGATAGATAGAAACAGGGAGAGAGAGAGAGAGATACATACAGAGAGAGGCGGAGAGAGACGCAGATAGACGGTCGGATACAGAGTCAAAGACAGACAGACAGAAAGGAAAATAGGAGGAAGAGAAAGCAGCACATTATCTCTGCATAGAGTCCTGGGAGGAACAGCCTGTTTGTAGAGTGATACCTATCAGCTCCCTGGCTGTCTCGGGAGATATTACTGCACTGTGGTGTACTTTACCCAGATAAAACATCCCTGCGTCTCTGATAGAAAGACTCAGACAGATAGTGGCAAGGTGAAAGGGAAAGAGGCAGAAAAACTGTCAGACAGATTGACAGACAAAAGATTGGTGGAATGGCTGATCACTAGCTTTTAAAAATGCATGTTACAGCATTAATGGATAAGATATTAACATGTAAGTTGGCAAATCCTTGTATCGAAAGTTACATTACATGACAGACAGTGCAGCCGATGGCAGCATGATGTCCCAGCAGAAATCAAACACAAAAACATTGTGGCTCTGTGGTACAGAAGTGTGTCGTATTAAGTCGGAAATCAGTTTCCACACGTGAGTAAAGGAATGCATAAAGGTATCTTTCTGTACGTGTACATATCCACAGCATGTTTTGGACCAGTTTTTCACAAGTGTGCAGTTATCAGGGACAATCTCATCATCATCATCAAATAAAAATGCATCAAATTTTCTATATGGACAGTAATTTTTGAAGTGAGAAAGACTTCTGCCCCCTCCCCGATGATTCATCCTGCTGTTTGTCTGCCTGCCTGCCTGCCTGTCTGTCGTGTTGCCTCCTGGGGCCCTGATTGAATAACTAATGATTAATATCAACACAGCCACTGCCACAGCGACTGATATACCGTACCCATTGATCCAGACCTTGAGATGTCATGAAAAAAAGACAGAGATTATACCGCAGGCAAGGTTTTGTGAGACTAAATTATCCGAGCTTGACAACCAAACTTCTGTGTGCACTGGCAAAAATACTGCCCAAGACTGAACTTTTCAATCCAAGTTCCAAGCATTAGAAATTAAATCATTTATTTAACCAGGTGTGTTATGAAAAATAAAGTCTTATCCCAGGATTGTATATGTATCCACACCTGGTTGCTGCCCTGTATTAATATAATGTCAATTTGATGAGCAGCTTCATTTGACAAGTTGGAGATGAACTGCTTTTCTCCAGGGTGTTTGCAAAGTGGTTGCTAAGCAAAGATAGAGCACTTTACTCATACTTCTTTCTGCCAGATTTTTTAAATCCAGAAATAATGAAGTAGAGATATTTTGTATACAATTTAGCTTTTCTGAACATCAGGATAATGCCACACTGAGGTAACCTATCACTGTTCCTTAAAGATCTATTAACTGGGAGTTGATTTGTGGGAAAGTTAAAAAATGGATTTCCAAATGAATATAAACAAGGCCTTGGCAGGCCTGGTTCAATCTAGTTGTATGATTGGAAAGCAAGCTGCTACAGTATTGAAAAACATGTACACCCTCAAATATGATGGGAGCTTAATGTTTGCGACTACACATCCGATTGTTGTAAACAAGTTATTGCTCTCCTTTCATCTCTGCAGATATAATTGACTCTTTCTTGCCCTTTCCCTTTCTTCTTTCTGCCTGTCTTACCTTCTTACCTACTTCTATTATCAGTATGGCATAATTTCTGCACTGTTGTATGAATTAAAAATGGTGTTTAGCATTCATTGGAAGTTGTGTGCCTAGCCACCTGGCGAATATAGCTTAAATTTTCACACTAATTGTAGTTCTGTTTAGGCCTCCACATCAGAAATGAACTAATAAATACTAAACAGACTAACGAGATTGTGCATACTCCAAAGAAAAAGCTGAAGAAAACTACCAAAAGGAACTCATTAACCACACCTGATTAATGATGATATGCTGTGCATTTTCTTCCAGAGTTTGCTTGCGGCACGCCTCTTCAAACGCGCATTTCTACAATAAGACGCCAGTCAGTCAATCTCTAGCAGTCCAGACGTTTATTGAACACTCTGTTTGATTTGGACAGTTAATTTCATGAGCATTTTGCTCTACTTTGTGTGCTGCACATAGATTGTTACAATTTCTGGCAACATCGATAAAATCTTCTTTTGTGAGTTGGTGGGAATCTTAATAACAGGCACAGTTGTCTGCAAATACATGTTAAGCTGTGAGAAAATTCTATACACATTTGTAAGTCTGCAGAGAAAGGCTACGATTTAATGTAGTTGATGTCACTGTCAAAGTCAAACAGAGTATCTTTCCTTTCTGAAGTGTATGAAAAGGCAATACATTTCTACTCTCTTGCATTTGACTGTCTGGGGTTTTTTAACTGAACATACTATGAAAAGTGAGAATCATCTTGACAGTAAACTAAGTGTGAGGATAGAATACTGCGTCAAGTTACAGGATGAAATACTGATACGGGAAGGATAATTTTAAAAGCTTATCCCACACATAGTCTCCACTGTAGTAATCCTACTCATGACACTTGGAAATGTGCATTAAATGACATTATAAAGACAACCCAATTAGATTATGAAAGATATTCCTAACTAAATCTGAAACTCAATGATCTGTAATGGGAGTCTTGTGGCTTATAAAAGCCTTCCCCTGGAATGATCAGTCCCTCTCTCATTTTCCCTCTTTCTCTCTCTCAGTCACTCTCTCTCTCTCTATTTCTCTCACTCCCTCACACACACGTGCAACACACATACAAAGGGATTGAGACATCACCAGTCGCACTTAGATCTCTGCATGCAATCATCAGCCAACTGTGGCAGCATGTGAGAGTGCCCTACTACTTTGTTTGAATTTCAATTGCCAGCCAGCTAGAGATTTAATTTGAAATTTATCTGGAAATGCCACATTTATCCATAACACCAACTCAGTCTGAATCTGTTCATGCACCCTTACATGAACAGCAGGACATGCGAGCTCTTGGGTACAAGCTGGACTTACAGTTTTAAACGGGAAGGAAAAAAATACAACCTTAAACTTCACACAAAATTCACAGTTGTAATCCTGCAGAAAACATTTGTATCTTTCTCCCTTTGCCAAAAACTGTCTTGATATTGATAGTTGAGTTGTTTGGACTGATTTGTTCTCAGTCATAAAATGTTTAATTACTTTATTTTGGGACCCCCTCCAATGAGCAATGAGACATCTAAAGGTGTTCAATCCTAAAATAGAATACATTTTACTATTCACCATATAAATCATTCACACGTGTGTAAATTTAAACATATTTGTAATCATGTAATCATTCATCTGAACACATGAAAGACAGAGCCTTTTGGTTTTTGAGTGAATGTGCATTTCTCAGTCTGTTCTCTTCCTAACACTCCCCCGCACACACACACACACACACGCACAAATGCTTTCACGACAGCCTGAACAGCCCTGACACAAGACATGTTCTCTGGATCGTTAGCCTCATGTACGCTGTAGATCTCACGGTGCACTGAGCCAGGGTCAAGTCAGCCACTGTGTGTGCGTGTGTGTGCGCAACTGTCCTTCTGTCTGTCGTGTTGTTTATGTCTACATTTTCTGTCTTTCTGTCCATCTTGCTGATCTGCAGATGAAAGCAAACTTCTTACACTTCATCTCCCTTTGATGCTTCTACAGTATCTGTTATCACAGAGCGCTCTATTCAACTGTGTGTGTGTGTGTGTGTGTGTGTGTGTACTGTATATGTGTGGGTTGTGTCAGCATCAGCGCTCATGGTGTGCATAGCAACAGAAAATGTCGATCCACATGTATTTTCTGCTTGCTCCATAAGTTCCTTAATACAGCATCAATGGATTCACAATTAATCTCCAGCTCTTAGTCCCTGTGCTCTTTCACCTTCACTCCACTTCTCACCTACCTCTCTCTCTCACTCACACACACACACACGCACACACAAACACACTCACATATACTCTTATGCCCCTCCTATCTATCTTTCCCTCCCTGTCTATTTGGGGTGACAGCAGAATACTGCAATTCTGTTGTAGTATTTGACCAAGATCAGCTGCAACTCTGAAATGGGTGTCATGTGTATTTGTGTAGGTCTGTATGCATGTAAGTGGATAAGAGTGTGACTTTAGATGTGGGAATATGTATGCGTGTGAGTGAGAGAGAAAGAGAGAGACTAGCAAGATTACCAACACATCTTTAAAGTCTCTGTGCTACTGTGGTGCCATCTTCTGGTAGGAAGCACAACAGCCTTGACTTAATTCTACAGCAAGACAGGAGAACTGGCTGAGACGATACACATTTGCATTCAGAACACTCAAATAGGGCATTCAAAGAATGTGACATTTAAAACATGAAAAGAAAATTAAACTCATAGAATAAAAAAGGCATTTAATATAGTGACAGACATCATAAAACATTTCAAATAATTGCTGAAATTGGGTTTAACATTTAGCATATTGGGATACGATGACAGAAAATGTATTATGTATGTACATAAGACAGTACTGTACAACCTGTTTAATATAGCAGCTTGCAGCATCTTTCAGTGCGCGCGCACACACAGACACACACACACACACACATTCTCTCACTCTTATAAACACATAATGTCGTTATAATATAAAGCCATCTCAATCATTACACTGCTAAAAGAAATGTGTTAATTTGTTTTGAGGGCCATTCAGTCATTTCAGTGAAACATCCTTTACAGACAATGCAGTTAGAAAGACCATCCCTTCTTTTCCATGACAAAGTTTGAAGTGACAGACTTTGTGACGCTAATATCCAGAGTGGATTGAAATTGGAGGTCTGCCAAGGTCTGAGTGTAGGGAGAGGATAATTCATTCAGCTCTGGCTCAAACATGCACACACACACACACACACACACACACACACACACACTGTCTCTCTTTCTGCAGTTTTCTTTTTGCATAATGACACTGCTGCAGACAAAACAGATACACACACAGAACATATACACACACCCACGATGAATTAACACATACGGCTTGTGTGTACAGATTAATGTTACATTTTTGCTTTTTTTTCAAAACCTATAAAGCCTGAGCAGCCATATAGTCCTTTCATCTACACAGAATGCAAAGAGCATGTTCATATTTACAGTCAGTGGCTTTGTGATAACATTAAAATACTGAAAATTGATCATTATGACACAGAAACTTGACTGAAAGCTGAAATGTAGATAACACGCTGTAAAGGATTTATCTGACTACCACGACATTCACTTCTCTTGTCATAGATCTATAAGACCCAAATCACCTTTAGAGTGTCACAAATACACTCATTAAAATACTATGTACAATAAGGACCACTTTAGCTAAGCCCCTGGAGATGCATGGAGCTTAGTATTAATGCCCTTAACATTGCCCTACCACTGGATAGTCTTGTAAGTGGCCCATTGATGTACTCTACTGAGGGAGCTGCTGAACCACTGCACTTTGGTGTTCAAAACATTCAAGTAATGCCAGGAATCAAAAATATTCACATGCACACATACCACTCTGGTGGATTTGCTACCAAAAGATGCCCATGGAAAATGGATGAAAACAAATGTTTGTTTGTCTGGTCTGCTCCCAGGTCAGTCAAAGACATTCTAATTTGTTACTGTAACATTCAACTTGTATTGGGTCCCATCTTTTACTATTAACCACTTCAGCAGTCCATTTCCTATGTCTAAGATACGAACAGTATCAACTTTTACTCTTCATTATTACCATCAATGACTTTAGGAATCAGTATGGTATCTGATTGTGATGTGTTTAAATCTCACATCACAATGTTTCACCATCCATTCTAGTAGGAAAGCATCCTCATATCAGATTCTTATTGATCTGTAGGCTATATAGGTATGAACAACATAGAAACTAGGTGTCCTGAGTGCACCGCTGGATTTACAGAAGTAGAAGCTCTAGGTTTGATTTCGTCCCCTGGTGCTGTTTTATCCCCTATAGAGTCTCTAGACGATTTGAGGGTTGGGGTAATATTTGAAGACCTTGTAGATCCACTGTGTGTAGAAGGGCACATTGATGAAGATGCCAGGCTGGTTGGCCCGAGCACAGCCTCTGCCATGGACACTCACTCCCACAATAACCCTGATGTCACCATCCTGACACACAAGAGGGCCACCATAATCCCTCTGCAAAAGAAGAAATAGATAGCACATTTTTTCTATGTCACTGGTTGAGAAATGGTTATATCATCACTGATTTCGTTTATGACAGGGTTATATGACAGGGTTGAACAAAAGTAAAATGCATTTTTTCGCTCTCAGTGACAGACAGCGCCACCAGAATTTGTGAACATGGATAGTTCTCTTCCAAAGAAACCACAAAACCCAAGGCTTTGATCGCTGATGAAATTTAGCGCAACAGTCTCCAGCTGCTCTGTTTACAACGGACTGAATACTAAGCCCAAGGATTCAAAGAACATTTGTTTGAGATGTGGATCAAACTGAGCTTTGAAAGCGCTGTGTTGAATCAAGGCACTAATTTTCTCACAAATTCACACTGGGAACAATTACTTTAGCCAAATGTCTAAAGGCCTGTTCCTGTTTACCAACAGGACAGACATCATCATATGAATTCTAGCGTTGAGTTTTCCTTCTGAACATCTAAACAGTTATTTGGCCTCATGTTTAAATGGTAAAACATGTCAAACATGAAAAAGAATATGAACAGTTTACCTCACATACTCCCTCATTCCTCTTGCCTCCTGCACAGATCTTGGTGTTGGTGATGTGGAGGTTCCCTCTGTGCATCTCTCTACACTTCTCATTACTGACAATGGGCAGGTTGACCGCCTTCAGTATGTCATCATGGCCAGTGCCTGAAAGAGTCAAAGGTTGCACTTTATTGCTTCTTTTCTGTTGTTGGTGTTGTTGTAGAATATGATGTATATATGTGGATACAACATGGTGATATATCATATTTAGCATATTTCTATTTCCAAAAGAATGGAGGAAAGTCTAAATGGCTTATACAGAAATCATGGCACATTTGAACTTTTATTAAAAATATCAATCTTCTGTGATCCTGTCTGTGTCAAGCCACCCAATAAGCAGTACTGACCTGGGGTTAAAAAACAGATGGCCTAAGCTATACAGTATCCAATTATTTAAGAGAGGACTGTGTTACAATATACTTTTTCCCCTCCAACATATATGCTGGAGGAGAAAAGTAATATAAATGCAAACCCGGGAGACTGGAAAGTAGGTATGTATACAACAGCTGCAGTGAATGTAGAATATCAATACCTTTGGTCTCTCCCCATCCATACATTTTACATGTTGTTCCTTCTGGGATGGAGCATCCATCTACCGGTAACTGAATTGTATGGACACTGTCTGCAGGAAGGGCAGGCCTAAACATATAAAACAATCCAAAAAGTACAAGGTATGATCACCATCACACACATACATATATATCAATATATAAATATATTTCCAGGTACTCACTTAGACAGCCTTATGAGGGCTAAACTGGAGCCCTCAGGACCACATATCACATGAGCTATGCTGACTTCCTGTCTCTTGGACCAGTCAGGAGCGCCCTCTCGAATATCTGAGACTCCCAGCCATACCCGATACTCACTGAGGTCTGGAACACTGGAGAGGCACAAGAAATAGTTAAGACTTAATAAAACATACCACATTTATTACTCTAGAACCTCAGCCTGATCAGGACAGACAGTAGGAACTATAGAGAGTTTGGTACTTGAATATAGAGAAATACATTCGACCTGAACAGATAAATCTTACATTTAATACACTGGCATAAAAGCAAAATGCACTGACAGTTCAAGGTTAATGGAAAAGCAAAGAAATGGCAGTAACAGACAGCGAGCATTAAAGTTACCATGAGGAGAAGCACTGTCTGTCTGTGAGTACCCACTCATCTCGTATTAGTGAACCCCCGCACCAGTGCACTGACCTGAAGAGAGCAACACACAAATGACATATCAACGAAGACATCAAAGACATCAAAAGCTGTGAATACCATACTGGAAATCATGTTGTCATTCTTAAAAACGGTATGTTTGCTATTCACAGAAATCCAGTCTTTTCCCTTATATGTAAACTTTGAGAACAGGGGTGCACAGTAGCACTATGAAAAAAATGCAAACACATCACAAAATAGCCTTGAACACATCAGAAACTTTATAGCACTAGTGGAAATAGTAATGTATAGCATTTACACACCCATGCTTTCAGATTAATGGATTTTGTAAATCTCACTTGCTTCTGTATTATTGCATTGCTTGGAGATGAAGTAGGTGTGTTATACACTTCTATCTGAACTTACTAAAATTGATAATGTGGGCTTTGCACAACTCACAATTGCACTTTACAACAGGTAATTGGCTTTTTACAAACAGGTAAGTTCTATTTCTCGATAAATTTCTCGTTTATAAATGGTTGGCATCAAGGCTGCTTATGTATCTAAAACCCTCCAAGGCCTCTAAGACTGACATTTGAACTTGGAAAACAATGGAAAACAAAAACTAAAAAAACAAAACATTTCCACTGAAATATTTAAGATTTCAACTGTGGTCTGGGCAGGATGGCCTACTGTTCCCCTTCGAGGGAACTCGAACTGTGTCAGTGACGACACTGTGGGAACGCCTCTGGGCATGGCAGGGCTGAATTATGAATGAAACTACTCCAATTCTATTGGTGTTGCTAGCGTGTGACGGTGTAACTGGAGGCGTATATAAGCACGCCGGCACACAGGACACATTAGCTTTTTTCTATTCAGCAGGCACTCTGAGTATGTCTAAAAGCTCCACTATTGAAGTTGAAAAGTCGTCTTACCTGGAAGTTCCCGACGAAGCAGGAGAGATCATGTCTGGTAAACAGTTCCGACAGTGTGTTTTTCCTTGCCCGCGCTACATCACGGCTGGGGATACTCACGAGATGTGTGTTTCCTGCCTAGGGAAACCCCTCTTCCCCGGTCGGGAGCCTGTTTTTCGGCTTCTCCCGCCTGAGGCATGAGTCTGGGGAGGCTTGCACAGTCTGACTCCGAGGAGATAGATGTGCTTAGCATCATGGAGGATGACTTCCGGGAGCCAGGCCGACGTCATCAGTCTTTGCCCAGCTACGATGAGTTATTGGAGGTGGTGACGAGGGCTGTGGCCAAGCTGAACATTGATTGGCCACAGGCGGTGCAGGAGCCACAGGCCGGCAGTAAACTGAATGAGCGTTTTCTGCAGCACCACGCACCGATCCTTGCCATTTTTTCCTGATTTGCACAATGAGTTGTGTAAATCATGGAATAGACTCTTCTCTGCACGGCTGACTACTTCCCCTCTGCTGGATAACAGCAACGTGAAAGAAATTAAGCAGCATGGCTATAGAGTGATGCCTCGGGTTGAGGAGGTGTTAGCAAGCTATCTTTCTCCCACCCTCGCGTCACCCCTCAAGACGCCGGCACTGCCCACCAAGCCATGTCGGGCAACATCCGCTCTGATGGGCAAGGCTTACATGGCGGCGGGTCGAGCTGGTGCAAGCCTGCACACGATGGCCATCCTGCAGGCATACCAGGCCGATCTACTCAAGGACTGTGATCAAGGGGGAGGCCCCTCTGAGGAGGACTTAACCGAGCTCCGTAGAGCTACGGATTTAGCACTTCGTGTCACGAAGGAGACGGCCCGTTCCATTGGCCGCTCCATGGCAGCATTGGTGGCTACGGAGCGCCATTTGTGGCTCAACCCCTCGGGCATCCAAGAGAAGGAAAAGGCTTTCCTCCTTGATGCACCCCTCACTACTACTGGCCTGTTTGGTGAGGCAGTGGACACTGTCGTCAGCAGGTTCCAGCACATAAAAACGCAGGAAGAGGCGTTGAGCAGTATTTCCCCTGCTGGTCTGGGTCCAGGACGGCAACGGCCAAGGAGAGACGAGCTCAGCCCTCGTCTAGCTCCTACCGCCAGAGCCAGAAGCGAAGCGTCGCTTCCCGTGGTCCCCCTCAACCAACCGGGACGCGAGGCGGCGCTCTCACCCACAGCCCCCCTAGACGACGGATCTGAGGACCATCATTCAGTCTCGGCAGGCCCGGGGAAAGAGGTTTCGAGTAGGGGGGCCCACTACCACCCCCCTACCTGACGCCCGCCCAACGGACTACATTCCTAGGGGTGGTGTGGGACTCAACAACGATGCGGGCCCACCTGTCTCCTGCACGCGTCTAGTCCATTTTGTCCACAGTGACGAGAGTGCAACTAGGCCGCACCATCACTGTGAAACACTTTCAGAGGATGTTGGGTCTCATGGCAGCAGCGTCCAGTATAATACCTTCTGGCCTGCTGCACATGAGAGCCCTGCAGTGGTGGTTAAAATCCAAGGGATTCTCCCCGAGGGGAAATCCGCTCCGTCTGATACGGGTTACGAGCAGGTGCCTTCGTTCCCTGTCAGCCTATGTGTCAGCCTAGTATTAGTAGCCCTGTTTTGGCCGGCCCAAGTGTGGTTCTCGGACATAATATCGCTCCTCGAGGCGGGCCTGACAGCAGAAGCGGTCAAGACGCTACTCAGCTCCAGAGCCCCGTCCACGAGAAGGATGTACGGCCTGAAGTGGAATGTGTACGACACCTGGTGTAGAGAACGGGCGGTGGACCCAGTTACCTGCTCGGTGATTATGGTACTGGAGCTCCTCCAGCACCGTTTCTCTGCTGGCCTTTCTCTGTCCATGCTCAAGGTGCATGTGGCTGCCATTGCAGCGTTCCACGCCCCTCTGAGGGATGGGCCTTTGGGGAGGCTTCCACTGGTCGTGCGCTTCCTCCGTGGAGCCCAGAGGATGAGACCCATGACTCGTTCCAGGGTTTCCACTTGGGACCTGGCAGTGGTTCTCACAGCACTGGCTGAGGCCCCCTTCGGACCCCTGGAGTTGGCTGAGGCCAAGCACCTGACCCTTAAGATGGCCTTTCTCCTCGCTATCACCTCTCTGAGGAGGGTGGGGGATCTCCAGGCACTTTCGGTTTCTCCTCGATGCCTGGAGTTTTCTCCGGGGAGGGTCAGAGCCATCCTGCACCCCTGTCCGGGCTATGTCCCTAAGGTTCCGTCCAGTTTGGCAGGGTCCACGGTGCTGCAGGCGTTTCATTACCCACCTCATGTGACGGCGGAGGACGGGAGACTTCATCTACTCTGCCCTGTCAGAGCGCTGAGTATTTACACTCTGAGGTCTTCCCAGTGGAGGAAAGCAGACCAGTTGCTGGTGTGTTTCGGGTCCCCCAAGGCTGGGCTCCCCGCTTCTAAACACACGATCAGCAACTGGATCGTTCAGACTATTTCCCTGGCCTATCAGGTGCATGGGTTGCCTTCACTTATGGCCGTGAGGGCACACTCTACTCGAGGCATGGCGGCCTCTAGGGACCTCCTCGCAGGGGCTTCGCTCCAGGATTTGTGTGAGGCAGCTGGCTGGGCCACTCCTCACTCCTCCACTTTTATCCGGTTTTACAGTCTGGACTTTCCTTCTGCACCTGGCACCCGTGCGCTCTCCTCTTAGTCGTGCCTACAGGTTTCTGCACGTTGGGGGCAGGGGGGGGTTTCAGCGCGGCCTAGTGGGTATCTCGTTCCCATAGTGTCGTCACCGACGCAGTTCGAGTTCCCTCGAATGGGAACGTCTCGGGTTACGTATGTAACCCTTGTCCCCCCGAGAAGGGGAACGAGACACTGCGTCGGTCCGCCACACCTCACCCCGCCTGGAATGCCTTGCTTCATAGCAAAGAGCTAATGTGTCCTGTGTGCCGGCATGCTTATATACGCCTCCAGTTATGTCGTCACACGCTACCGTTCTAGCAACACCAATAGAATTGGAGTAGTTTCATTCATAATTCAGCCCTGCCATGTCCAGAGGCGTTCCCATAGTGTCGTCACCGACGCAGTGTCTCGTTCCCCCTCTCGGGGAACAAGGGTTACATACATAACCCGAGACGTTCTTTTTCTGTGGTAGATGAAAATGTGTAGAATATTAAATGCACCGGTGTACCCTTTCTGTATGCTGACCATCCAGCTACCGTCTGATATGCCCACCGGACCACCCCCAACAATCCTGGTTCTCTTATGGACATAACACACTACAAAGGGCGGCCCATCTGGAAAAGCAGAAACACACACAGACACACACAGACACACACACACACACACACACACCTTTTAATATACTCATGCTATATAATATACATTTAATTTAAGACATAAATATCCATTCACAGGCACAGACATTATGTAATTAATTGTGACATAATGTTGACACAGTCGCAACACAAGAGGCATATTACCTGCATAATAGGCTGCCATAACCATCATTATATATACAACATAACCAGTTACACTGATGAGGCCATTAATTAAGGTAATCTTTAAAAATGTTCATATAACACATGGGTATAATTTAAACTCCATATATCAAATGATTGAGGGCTTCATCCTCAGTTACTATGTGTACAAGAATGAGGACCAACACATTCATACACACTCTTATATACACATGCACACATACACAGAAACAGATGCCACCATGACAAAATAATGTCCTGCATCATGAATCATAATAGCTGGACATAAAAAAAGGCCCAACAAGTTCTGAAAACACCACTACTTGACTTGGAAGCTATCAAATATAAATCAGCAGCTGAGCCACTTGCAAACACCGACAGAGAGACGATCTGACAGAGACTCTCACCCAGTGGAATGGTGTTCTGTGAAGCATCACCTGCAGAAAGCAGAGGAGACAAACAAGGGATCAGAGAGTATTAGCTGATACAAGCTAGGAAGCAACCTCACACAGGGGTGCAAATTTCACAGTGGCAATACAGCCACGGCCACCAGAGTCCTTGTCTTTGTGTGTCATTTCACAAAAAAATTTAATCTGGAGGGCTTTAAATAAATGTAACAAGCCTTCAAGGACCGTGTTATATGTTTGTAAGTTGTAGCTATTTAACCTTTGTGCTGACAATTTTTGATTTTTCAATATACTTCTCCAATAGTTCCAGGCTTGCAACTGGTTTACTTTCCATACAGTACGAAAATCATAATCTGCTCATGTTGTCTAATGCATCACAGTGAACATGAAGTTTAATTTGTTGTCAATATTACATTATTCTTGCATGTCAATGCAGACATGACTGCACTGCATTTCCTCACATCTTTGACAAGATGATGTAGACAAAATATATCCACATTTCTAAAACACAGCAGCATTGTTTCAAAATGATTAGCTTTGGTGGAAGGTATTAGCAATGTATAGGTAACATGCAAAATCACTGGTATGAGAGAGAAAAAGAGAGACACACACACACACAACAAGGCAGAGTCAACAACAAAACAACAAAACAAATCTACACTAGCTCTGTCATGAAGTACCACAAACATTTAAACATATCCTAGTTGTGTATCTTTATGCGCATATTGAATGCACACACTTCCATGCACTCACATGGTTTTACATCGCAGTAGTCCCAGGAAATGGCAGAGTTGTTGGTGTAACACCAGGGACCATGCTTGTCTTTATCCGGGTTTCTGCAGTAGCTTCCCTCCAGGCCAGGCACCAGCATGCCCCTCTCGCCACTGGACAAACAAACATACATAAAAAAACTAATAACTTATCTTTCACCACCATTCAATAAGGCTTTGTTTTAAAAACAAAAGGACATTTTCCCCTTTTAAGCAGATGATTATTTGTTGATGAAACTAAAAAGGATTTGCCAATGATTTATTAGTAAAAGCTGAATGACTTTAGCCAGATAGGATCTGGAGAGTAAAACTACACAGCTGTGTATGCTCTGTCCCTCTGGACAAGATAAGAAGGTGATTTGCAAAGGAATTACTCACTGAGACAGAATGCATCCACCTACACTCACTAATATCTAATATATGCTCATGCAGACATTTTTAAACCACAAACAGAATTCTTTCCCACACTGAGTTCCTTGACAGATAAGGTGGAAAACCGTAAGGGAAAAGGGAGACATAGGCGAGGAATACCAAATCACAGCAATCCAGAGTTTCAGTTTGTGTGTATTTCTAGAAGCTAGCATAGGAGCCAGCTTTCACTATAACTCCCTAACACTGACTTTTGACCCCTGGGCAGGAGCCAAGTGGTGAAGGTGATTGGCTTTGAAGTGTTCCTACAAAGGAAGGGTTTGGGGTCAAAGGTGAGGAGTGAAGTGTATATCCCCCATCCAAGTTATCACTGTGAGCCATTCCTGCTGTGTTAGGTCATCTTCAGGGAAACACTTCACCAGCTATTAGAAGATGCTAGAGAGGCTAGTCACGGCCCCCGCAGGAGCCGTTTTCTTCTCTGAGAAACAAGAGGCCTGACTTGATCCGCTAACAACAATACGGCTTAACTAGAGGTCAGTAATAGGGCGCCTCCCCGCACTAACCACCGCGACTCAGGTTTGCACACATGGTTCTGGAAAGCACAGACAGATTCCCTTGCATACTGAGGCTGTTATGCACAAGCTTATATCACAAAGATATACCCTTTTCTAAGCATTGATTCTCTTGTTGAAACCAGTGAAATTTGTATATATTCTCTGCTCATTATCAGTCGTTTCCTTTGACCCCACTGAGGTTTTAAAAAACCTCTACACTATGTGACACTCTCTCTGATGGGTTACGTGTACTAGAGCTGTGTGACATCATGATCTCTATTTTAGGCAGAGGCACTTGTCTGCAGTTTATTGATGGTGCAGGTCTGTTTTATACATCATAGTGGAGTTTGGGAAAGTTATTAGGTTAGAAAGTAGCAGGGATCAAGTGGGCCGACCTGTTGCTGTGGTCTCTCCAGGGAGCACAGGGCAGTTTTGATCTAGTCTTTGACTGCTCTCCTTGGTAATTCTCTCCAATGTTGACATAGCAGTCTGTATTTGGACAAAAATAGGAAATAAAATGAGACAAGTATTCTAGACACATACTTCATCTGTTCGAACATACAGCTTTAAACAAAAACATGCACAATAGTCAACATTCAACAATACTAAGCTTCTAAAATCACCACAATAGTTGTTGTGCATTATTTGCCATACATTATTGTAGTACATAAATAAAAAAAACAGAAACATAAACAAGTTAGCACTAGCGAATAAGACACAGAAGAATAAAAAAAAAATTTAGTTTCTGAGCTATTGTAGAGCTGGGAAAACAAAGACATTGTCCACCATTGTGTCTTAGAAAAACACTGGTCATAAATAAGATTTTGAAGCTGTCTGATGCCCTGCATCTCATTTCTATGTGGGAATGAATTCAACCCTCAAGGGTAGACGACGACACAACCTTAGAGAGGTTTTATAATCCCAAATGCAAGACCACATAATCTCAAAGACATATCCCTAAAATCCTTTGGGAAATTTGCATTTGTCTACTCAGCCATATATCTACATCTTTTATTTCCAAATCTTTTGCTACCCCAGAAAGAATCCCATCCAGCACTAATCCTTTTACTGTCCAGTGAGACCTGACAGAGTTGATCTGCTGTCAGAGTTCATTTATGTAAGGCGAGGTGGTCAGTCCTTCCCACAGTCCTACAGGGCTACAGTTCTCCGCAGGGACGCAGAAAAACGTGGTTACAAACCAGTATATGTGGTTACAGGGTCTCATGTGAACTCCTTTGTCCACAAAATATAACAAATTAATTCTATTTCTCTGCTTTGGATGTAGAGAAAATCAGCTTTTCAGTTGCTGTTTTTAACGTCAAACAAAGCTTTTGAGTTTCTCACCACTGGCGGGCTTGTTTTGGGTGCCGCACTGAGGGATGTTGGTGCAGAACATTGTGCGGACTCTTGGGTCTGTAGTGAAACACCAGGGGAATTCTTGGCCATCTGGATTCCGACAGTAGTTTTCTCGCAGGTCCCTGGAAAAAACACAGATAAAGCCTTTCTGTAGTCTACTTGGATTTAAGTGCATGCAGGTGGGTGAGTGAGTGGATGCATGTCTTATGTGAGAGTTAAGACTCACTTGCAAGGGTAGGCTTGTGGTATGAATGTGTGGTTATGGGGATACTGAGAGTCCCAGCGCTGGCAGGTGAGTCCGGTGGGCAACACATCTACTGTCCCCCTATAACCTTCTCCTCTGCCCTGGTAACACTCAGTTGTTTCCACCTCATTGCTTTTATGAGGTGTTGCTGTGACAGAGAAAAAATATATTAATGGGTGGGTGACATTGATCCAAGTAGCATACAAGATGTTTATATTCACTGAAATATCCTGTGTTAATACCCAGATTATGGAAAGTTTCATTAAGGTCTTAACATAGTACTAAAAGACTTTTCCAACAACCTAAACTTACTACCAGTTTTACAGGGTAATAAAAAAACAAACAAGTATAGTAGTTCAGGCTCTAGACCTTGTGGTGATGTAGTTGCAACATGAAAGGTATTTCAACATCACCCCCAAAAACAAGCTTTATATTTTTCATTTTGCTAATCATGCCCTTCTGTTCTCAAACACATCCACTCAACGGCCTTTAAAGAATGAAAACATTGATAAGAATCACACTGAGGTGTATAGGATAAATGGAAAGAGAAATTGAAAAGACAATATTGAGACCTACAAAGACTGAGCTCCCCACACTGACTTATTTCACAAAATACAGAATGACTGAGTAAATGCAGGATAACACACTAAATAACAGGTGGCCTATGACTGAAGTCATGTCACTAAGGCAACCCCCAAATTCCACAACAGCATGAATTTTTACATGATTCTACCAAAATACAAATGGACATTTATAAAAAATAATTTATCTTGCTAAGGTATGCTGTGATTTGCATGGAAAAGGCAAAGACTAAAAGCCAAATTTGGTTGAAATCGCGGATAGAGAGATGTGGGAAACAGGGACTGTGAACTGCAGAGAGAGTTGGAGGTGAGTGAACTTTGAAAGAGCGAGGCAAACTTCAGATGAACTGCACTTGATGAATTGGACTATAGATTATATAATAATACTTTGACACGCATGGCACACCACACATATTCCCCTTTTGCCTGCCCTTTTATTGTTTTTTCTCCCACTCACACACGATCTAGAGGTCTTGATTCCAGTCGTAAAAGTCACACAATGCAGAAAAGACAATTTGCTTTCAATAGGAGTGATGACCAAATCAGTTGGTCAAAAAATTCCTGCGTGTCCGGACCTTCAGGTCTTACAGGTCTTACAGTGTTTACATGAGAGTTGCAAAGACTTCCCTTTATTTGATTATAATCAGGTTGTTGTAGTACATGTACAATCAAGCATAAACAATAATGAACAGTAAATCATTTAGCACTGCAGAGATATTCAGAGTGACAGTGCCTTTGACACGATGAATGGCTTAACAGCCTCAGTGTCTTGGCCACCTGCTAGCCAAAGAATAGGGTTTAGAAGAGCTACAGTATAATGAGGCTGATATGGCCAAAATTGGAAAAACAAAGTAGGTAATCTTATCCACTCTACTTTTCTTTATAGAAGGCCTGCTTATTTACGCACACGTATTTACACAAGTTCATTAGCCAGAAGATTGTGCATGATTGTATCCAACAATGTGTAAAGCTGCAGATCTCTTCATGACTCTAAAACACACATTTTCTATCCATTCAATATGTCTAAAAATAGATGTGCACTAGTTGTGACAGTAAACAAAAGAGCAGGCCTTGACAAAGGAACACTTTGTCTCTGTCTCTTGCTCTCTCCTCTCTGCCTTGTTTTGATTAAGACTAACTGGGTCGTAAACTTGGTCTGTTCCCAACATACTCCCATATCAGAGAGAGAGAGACGGACAGAGTGCGGGGGGGAGGGGGGGCAGTGAATCACTGGGTCCACATGGAGATGTGCCATCTAGTAAACATGGTGCCAGGACTGCTGATGATTCTAGCAGGCAAACAGGGCATTCACAGACTCGGGAGAAAGACGCTGAGCCTAACAATAACACCAGTGCTCTCTCTGTTTTATGTTCTTCAGGACCACAGTGGTCTCCGTGACTTGTCACTGATTATAGGTCAACTAAAAGCATACAGTATCTGCTGCTTTATTAGCTTAATAAGTGTACAGACACACAGAAGACAAATCCAGACATGTATGAGGTGTAATGAAAGCAATCTTCTTGTAGTGTTTGTGACCCTGGTATTGTGTCTGTATGTGTGTCAGGAGGTTAATGTGGAGCAGTAACTGAGCCCTGTGCAGTTTGAACATGACACATTTAGAGCTGGCAAAGAACAATAAACAGCAGGGCAGTGGCGCAGGGGAAAAATAAACATTGTGGCTATCAGAGAAGACATTAAAGTGAGCCAAAACCTAAGAGTGGAACTCTGTGTGTGTGTGTGTGTGTGTTTCACATAGTATCAGCCAAAGAGGCAAAGGAGAGGTGAATGAAAGGTGCAGGAAGTTGTAAATTCTGGTGCAGTCAGTCACACTCCGTGAGTCTATACGGAACACAAACACACCCCTGCACAGACATGCATACACTTCCACTCAACATTCATGACAAATGCTAATGCATCAACCACACACAAACAAACATGTAAGCATGCTTACCACAAACTTTGATGTTGCAGTACTCCCAGGGTGTGTTTAGGTCCGTGGTAAAGCACCAGGGTCTGTGGCGTCCATCTGGGTTCCTACAATAGTTATCATCCAGTCCCTTGTCAGGGTACCTAATACAAAACATGCAGTATAACAACCTTAGTGTACTGACAAAAGCTATAAAAGAGCATAGCACAAAACAACTATCACACTGTTGCATGACCCATAGCACACCTCCTTGCCCTAAAGTTAAGTAATAGTGGCGTAAAACAGTAATTGTCACATAAGAGAAGAGGATCATATTTCTATTTTCCTTCTAAACAGGGGAAAACAGAGTATAAGTGGAGAAACAATTTACCATTGCATGCAACTGAGGCATTAATAACTGGAATGGTGCAAGGACTCCATCTGTGAATCTGTTCAAAGCTCAGGGGAGTGAGGAAGATAACAGGCTACCCCACTACAGGTGTTCTACACCAAGTCATCCCAAAGCCCCCTATCTCTCCAGGCCTCCAGCCTCCAGGCGTGCAGTATCAGGCTGTGGGACCCTCTCATTACATTAGTGCTATGAGCAGACTGGGGCCTCATTTACACAAACACTGGGATGATTAAGGATGTGTTAACGAGTCCTCGCTAATCCAGAACACCTGCCATCCGACTAGCTGGAACACTCTATTGACACAGACGCATGCGCACAATGCAGAGATGCACATACACAAACAATGATCACGTAAAGAATACTAACACAGACTAAAAAATATGGCCTCCCTGAAATTGGTATAAGCTTATCTTACGGCTGGACACAAGTCTGCTTCTAATCTACTGAGAGTTTAAAGGAATTTAAGCCATTTAAGTCAGAATGAAACGTTTTCCCAGCATAGTGTTGCTAAAAAACACAGAATTACACTCTGGATTCTGATGGCATTCCGTCAGGGAAAGGCACACTGGCTGACTCCAAATCACTTTATCAGAGTTAGTGCACCACAAACACATGGAATTACTGTATGAACTTATTATTACATAAAGTATTCTCCTGCATTTTGCTATTAAATGATATGTTTCCATGTGTGTGGGCTTAAGTGTGATTGAGCACGCACAATTTAGTGTGATGCCCAGTGGTGCAGATGCATGTGTGCGTATGACTGTGTGTGTTTTACCTCTTAGGGTGGTACAGGTGTTTGTGTGGTACATCCAGGTCCCAGCGCTGGCATTCCTTTCCACTTTCTGTGTGGTCCATAGGTCCTCTGTAATCTTCCCCATTACAGTTCACACACTCAACTATGCAGCAATGACACACATACATGCACACACACATTCACAAACACAGAAATGAGAGCAACAGGAAATCAGTATCCTCTCTGTGATGTATCAGTGACACATTGCTTTCAGAATGAGACACTTACCACTTAACAAAAAAATTAAGAACCTCCAACCAAATGATTTAAGACACAGGAGTAAAATAAATCATGATACTTTTAGTAGTTTAGCTTTGGGTTGACAAAGCAATAAACTTGAACATAGAGGATCATCCAATTTAATACATTTTAGGTCATGAAATTCTGTCCCAAAACTCTTGTCTAACATTTTGCAATAAAACCGTTCATAAATACAGATCTCCCTTAAGCTCAGACATTTTACACATACAATTAATGTATGGAAGCCCTTAATATTATGTGTCACACTAATGAAGGTGATGATCACTTTGATGTAGCACAGGCACCATTTGTTGCATGGTGAGTCCTACACACTTTTGCGTAAACAACAGAGAGTGTGCAGATTAGAAACACATGTGTATGAGTCCACTCCAGTCATGACAGAGCACATTTAATACCAGTACTGGCTGTGTGCGTATGTGTGTTTGCGCACGCCATGTTTGCGTGTCTGTATGTATGTTTCCTATTAGGACCAGCTAATTTCTGGAGAAACCCTTCCAGTCATTTTCTTCACAATGAATGCAGACTTTCTATAAAAATGAAAAGTTATTATCTCTGTTGTACAACTTGTGATAACACAGTGGGACACCATATGTGAGCTGGAGAGCGAGAAGGGTTCCCATCATGTCTTATCAAACCACAGCCTGGTTCCTCATTAACGTGATCTAGTGTCATGCATGCAGAGGAAACAACCTCTCTGACAGCATGAATCCTCAGGGATTAGATAACAGAGGTCATTATCATCCCCTTCTTCAGGGAGACATCAATGCCTGACAGTAATATTGTGTGATATAATATAGAGGCTGAAACTTTCTTCATCACAACTGGATAAATATTCAAGTTTTACTTCTACAGACCCATAACTCAAACTCAACAATTTCCTTCTATGAGTGCCACAGCGATGGATAAAATAACAATTTATCTATAGGACACAACAGGGGATTAATATCCTCTTAGATTCCAACACCAGCTACCTTCGGTTCAAACTATTTACAAAACCTGAACCTGATGGAATGATAGAGGACAGCATAAACTGAACCACACACCTGGAAACAACTGCAGCTGGCCTCAGCAAATACAGAAAACCTGTGCCCCACACACATATACACACACGCACATGTAGAGTGGAGCTCAGTTAGAGCCAGCGTTGCTTAGTCCAAGGCACTGTGTGATTGCCTAATTTGCTTCAGCTCATTTCAGACTATCAAGCCTCAATTGGTGAGGCAATTTGCAACGCGAAATGGGCATTATTTTAACATGTCCGCTCAGATGGATACAAAACATATTTTGTGTGTGTGTATGTGTGTGTGTAGCCTACCTTGTGAACACTGTGGTATGCCACACTCCTGGTGTCTGAGGTGTGGTCGAGGATCAGTGGTAAAGCACCATGGACCAACAGTGGAGTTGTCTGGGTTGCGACAGTAGTTTTCTCGGAGATCCTTCTTCCTGAACCTCTTAGACATGAATCTGTCAGGAGTACAGCTGCAGTTACACAAACAGACACCAAGACTAGTTGCCAAATATTTCAGCTAGCATGCATAGCAGCCTCTTTATGAAAAACAACCAAGGCCACATTTTCCATTGTCTTTTTTTTTTATCTGAATGAAAACTCCTATATTCATTTATGAAAGAGCTGCTGCTTAACTCAAATGGCTGTAACCTGGCTGCAAACATGACCAGTGAAAATTGTGTAAAAACTGTAAAAATAATCAATAACAACCCTAGATAGGACAAACTGCCGATGACATGATGTTGTTAATAATGTTAGCTTTCCATGAGGCTGGTTCTGAATGTGATATGAAAACAATGACAAATGACTCATATCTTCTACATCAGGCAAGCACATGGCTGTGGTCACCAACTGCGATGATGGACATAGTGTAGTCTTTGAGTCAAGCTGTGTTTTTCTACGTGATGATGAAAAGATAAAGCAAAGTAGCCTTTCTGTGGAGTGGGTAATGACAGGTACAGAAATGAGAAAGCCTTTACTGGGCAATCAAAAAAGAGGAGAAGCATTTCACTGATAAAAAAGCAATTTGTTCTTGTGCGTGTGTGTGTGTGTGTGTGTATGCATGTGTGTGTGGGTCAGAGTTTCACATGCCTGTAAGCCAACTGATAAAACATACAAAGCGCCTGGTATTAATTACCTGATATACAGAAACATTATTAGCAGTCTGATAAAGCAGGTTCACTGGAGGTACAAATGTACACTACCCTCTTTGATTCGTCTGCTGCAATGACAACTCACTACAAAGGCTTTCAAAGTCATTTAATACCTCTGAGTAGAGGGGAGTGGATAAGGAAGGAGGTAGCATGAGGTTCAAAGATAAGGTGTATGTGTCTTTTGTAAGGCTGTCTGATGGTTATTAATATCTTGCACATGATAAACTTTGTCTTTATTCTACTGGCCTTTTCCCCTCAGTGCTCCTTAATGTTTTTACAACATTGTCCTCCCTTCAAATAGCAGATATTGTCCTGCATCGCCACTATAGAACCAAATATTTTTCAAACAAATATGATGGGAAAAGATAAAATACTCTTTCCTTTCTAAAGAAAAACTTTTGAACACCTTTAATTGGATGTCATGCAATGTGTTTTTTTATTGTTAGTGCCATATTGTCTTGTTTCATAAACCATGATGGCAAATCACTTAAGACAGACAACATCTACAGTAGACTAAATATAAGACTAAATACTGAGATACTTTTGTAAAGAATATGTAAAGGAAGGCAACTATCTTGTTGCTTATTAGCCAATTACTAAAGATCAGTGCTAATATAAGTGTCATAATCCTGTAGAGGCCATTGCTTCACTTGCATCTTTTGTTTTTAAACTCCACTTAACTGGCTCTTTGTTCTGTTGGGAGCTATGCTGTATCAGAAGGTATGCCTGCATTTTGAAAAATGAGCTTTATCTGGGAATTAAAGGGGGATGTACCTGAAGCTTAACCAAAGGCTGCATATTAGATATGATTCTAATCCAAGTAAAACACACACGCACATGCGCGCACACACACCTAGATAAACATTTGGGCCACAGCAGGAAATGATCTGTGACTCTGTAAAGTGTTACAATGAGGTCAGTTCTGATGAATGACTCATCCCAGGAGCCTAATCAACCCCTAATATATCATACTCATAGACACATACACACACATATATGCTAGCCCCTGGCTACTAGCTAACTACATCACTGACAGGCCAGCACTAACAGTAAGTTAGCTTTAACACTACTTTGTTGGACATTGTGGTGGAAAGAACATCCAAGTCTTACTTGTGTTCATGAGGAATGGGAGAGGCCCAGGCCTGGCACAGGATCCCACTCATTGTCACCGACCTCTGCCCCCTGTAGCTCTGACCTGTACCCACAATGCACTCCCTAACATAGTCTGAAAGAGAGAGAGAAAGAGAGAGGATGGGGAAAGACAGTAAATAAGAGTGAGTGAGTGGGATGAGCCAACAACCTGATCACAGTGTGGTGCACACACAGCCAGTGTGGATGATGAAGAAAACAGACAGAAGGAGATGTTCAGCTATAATGCTGATCTTAACAATGACAAGACAATGCCAAAAGCCGAATCTGTTTTCCCAATCTTATGCAAAACATTTGGATGAAGTAGAACACGCTACACAGCTTGCATGTGCACTTTTGTGGTTCGTCAGGATCAAGTGAGGTGGGGGTTTCCACCGTTTATACAAACACTCCTTAATGACAGAAAATGAACTGTAATGTGCTGCGACACAATAAACACAACAATGGTCCTAGCCCTTCCTTGTCTTCCTCTTGAGGGATGCCATCATTCCAAGTTATTAGTCCAAGAGTTATTCATAGATATCCGATTATAAAAATAATTTTACTATATATTTTAAAACCACAAGGAGTACACCAAAGCAATGTTGCTGATTGGAAGTGATGGCTATGTAGAGCCTTTATATATAAAGATATATATATAAAGATATGGTGACAGAAAGAGACACCGCTTTACTATCAGCTGGTAGAAAGAAAATGTGAAACAATAGAAGTCACCTTTCTTTTGATAGAGTTGGTAGTTGAAGTCCGGTTGGATCTGAGCGCCTGTTGAGTTCCAGTCGAACGACAGCCACTGGCATTTCCTGTTTTTATGATCATAGAGGAATGCTCTGGAGAATAAGGAGGAAAGTAGGAAGAGAGAACAGGGAAATAGTGAATGATTAGTTTTCTTTAACTTCTGGAAGTAAAAGTCATCCCAGGTTAATTAACACAGCTGTTACACGAGTATACAAAGCAGTTAGGAGGCCTGCTAAACCTGACAGACAACAATGCAAATTCCATCTGTTAAAAAGCATAATTAAGGAGCTTAAGAAACCACCACTTTATTCTGGGGTAACGTTAGTTGCTTTACCACGTTACCAAAAATAACCCTCTGTAACTGAAAGGGCAGAAACACCTGCAGGTGAAGGGGAGTCTTCTGTTGCGGCTGCAGGCTTTGGCACACTTGGCCATACTCAGCTTCTTGCTTTTGGTCATGTGGGAGGAATCAGCAGACACGGCAACCAGTCGGATACCATCAGTTTCTGGTAGTCCTGGAGCGCATTTCTCCTCCCCTCTGATACACAATTACATAATATGTCCATTAAGCAGTATTTACATTTTAGAGGTTCAGACACATACTTGCAAATTGGACAAATACATTAGGTAGGAGTGAAACTGTTCATATCAAACCAAACATTTCATGGTTTGGTGACTAATTGGTCTAATCACCTGTCTACTGTGCCACTGACAGGCCTATGGCTTACAACAGATAAATTGGTTTGTTTTATTTTATTTTACTTTATATATGTATTATTTTATTTTAATGTGAGCAGAAAAATTAAATTGAATTTTACTTACAAGATAATATGCCGGGTTTATTATTATGATTATGATGATGTTGATTATTATTATTATTATTTATATTATTATTAAACATTCACACAAACACCCTTGCAAACCCTTCTCTGTGGTCTGGTTGACAGTGTGGATAGTGTGGTAATGAGCCCAGCTAAATTGAGAACACAGGGCAACAGAATTATTAATCTACAGGACCTAATAGGATGCGCAGTCATTTCACACGAGACCAAGGCTGACACCCACACACACACACACACACACACACACACAGCGAGAGAGAGAGAAAGGCGAGTCAGTGCTGTGTCTGTATGTTGCCTCAGTTGTTGGCAGCTTCTCTGCATCTCTGCACAATCCGACAGCCAGTTACACATTTACATTTAGACAGAAAATACATACTACCTCCTCCTCTCTCCTCCTACCTAATTCCTTCCTATATGCACTTCAGTCGATTCAACAGCTTGTATGAACACAGAAAAACTTCATGGTGGCTTCTGTAGGAAAGCAATCGTTCTTGGAATTACGTAGGCTATCATGTAAACAACAGAAAGACATCAGGCATCAGAGTTGGTGTTTCAAATTCTATATCTGGGTGTTCGGGAGATGTGGTGAGCAATCTGAGTATGAAAGGGGAGCAGAGAGATCAAGTAGTGTCCAATCCTCAACTTGAGTTCACGGTCTCCGCGGTGTGTCTGCTCGAGTGCCTCGGAGCAATGAGCCGCAATATCGCACTCTGTTATTACTACAGAAAGAGTGAACCATTAATTTGATTTTATTACCGGCCACCGATAGTTTTTTTTTTATCTATTCACTTGATGTCTCGATGCGTCCCTATGCGGTGTAATGCGCTCTGGCACAGAGCGGTACAAGAGTCGAGATTAAAAAGCCCCTGCTGGATCGTCAATTATGGCAAAAGCTTCGTTTTCATCTCTGTCCTATCTCTTCCAGGAATGCCCAACTTAGGAAATGTTCCCATATGTTCTGACACTAAGAAACACTTAAACTACACTATCTTGTAGATGCGACAAATAACTGATTATTTAAGGAGATAAAATGTTCCAATTAACAAAACATTAGCCTATACATTGCAAAGACAGGTAGAGGGATTACTCGGTGTAGTGCACAGTATACAACTGAATATTATAAAGTAAGAAAGTTATATTGTTAAAGTGTTGCACAGAGCGCAAACCAAAGCGTTCAGCACCAGCTCCAGACCATTGGCAGACGTTAGAGAGCAATCCGAGTAGGTGGAAATGGTTTTCGCCAAACTTACCAGAACAAGAAATGACGAAGAGTCCGAAAAGTAGCTTGTAAATCCACATCGCCTCGTCACAAAAACAGCAGTTTCTGAGACAAAGTGGAAATGCTGCTTGCTGCGCTGTCGGACTGCAACCAGGAGATATTGTTTCCACCACTGCACAGATGATGCGTCTCCTCTCTAAGTACTTCCTCGCCTCACTCCCTCCCTCCCTCCCTCATTGTGCGTGTGCGACTTTATCGCTCTCTTCCTCTCTCGCCTTTTCTTTCTGTCTAACTCTTTGTATATTTCGTTCTCTCTATCCATCCTCATTCCCTTCAAGTTTCAACTAAGTGTTCTTTATTGGCCTGAATGTCGCATGCAATATCGCTAAAGTTTTGGTGACAGTGTTAAATATGGCACAATCATTTCAATGCTCTTTAAGTACAGCAGGCTATATGATACGGCTGTGTACTGTATGTGTATGTGTATGTGTGTCATCGTTAAGGCTATTACCTATTGTGTGTTACCATACTGTATGTTCCATAATGAAGACCCCCTATAATAAGTAGATTGTGGTTCTTTCTCTCTTTCTTTCTGTTTTCCCCTGTCGTCCTGTCTTTCCATCTACCCCATTCAAAACATATAGCTAACCTATAAAACAGCTTGCTACACAAACAAACTTATATATACAATATAAAAACATATGAAGCATCTCTTTACTGCAGGTAAGCATTTGGTCAGAGATCTTCAATACATGTATAGCACACAAATTTAAACATCCCATGAAACACAATAAGGTTATTATAGATGCCCTTCTGACAGACACTATGAACCCCTGTGGAATAAATTAGAGGGAGGTAATACTACTACTACTACTACTACTACTACTAATAATAATAATAATAATAATAATGTATTTATTCAGCTGATTCTGTGTCCATCTTCCTGTCACACAGCGGCATCCCACTCATCTTTGTTTATCTTTTTACCCCCAAGATCACCAAGCTGTAAAATGAAACAGATAGAGGAGGTACTTCTCAGCAACTGGGAACTCTGTGGGGAAGTAAGAGATTGGAGAGGTGTGTGTGGGGTTGTTGTTTATGCTGCTACCCCCCCCCCCCCCCATCAGATAAGTAGTGAAGTTACTGGTGGGGGTGCTGGATGTGGATGACAAGACATCCCAATCAATCTCCTAAGTGTCATCTCTATTTCCAGCGATGACAGCATGAGATAAGAGACGTGACACTGTGCTGGCCACAGCATTTTCTCGACACATCTCTGATGTGCCGCTCCAGTCTTCCCGTGATAATCTGGTGTGGTGCACGGTAAATAGAAATCACTTTATTTAGTACAGTGCAGATTGAGAATTAGTGCATTGTGGGGATTCCCAGTATTTTCTTTAAACTCACACCATGTGCGCAAAACAAAACAGAGGAATAGATGGATAAATATGTAGGAGGAGACAGTCTCCATCTCTGTCTTCTCTCTGGTTCAATGAGTAATGCTCCTGCGGCTTCCTGAGAGGACCACAGAGTCATTCGCAATAATAAACAATCAGCCATGAGTCAGATACTTTCACTGGAGCATTTTCTGTTTCTCTTTCTTTGTCTTTCTCCACCTTCCCTTACGTACATACACATGCAACGCGACCACATACACTGTCTCTTACATACAACATGCACGCTTGTTCCTCAGTTTTTCCCTTCACGTTCACAGATTTGCATGCCCGTACATAACGAGCAGCAGATGACAGGATAACCTTCATCAGTTTGAGCTCACAACAAAAAGCCCTCATCACCACAATCTCATTACTGACTCTCCTAGCAAGAATCCAGTGGGTGTTTTCAGAGCCACCGCTTCTGCTAGAAGATGGAAATTAGAGAGACCCAGTAGCCCACTGCTCGCTCATATGAGCACCATCCAAGACTCTTCACATCTGTGGCTGGTTATTGCCAGAAACTTCATATCTTCATGCAGCTGGTAATGGAGGGAGGAAATTCAGTGGGAGATGGAGATGATATGGAGAATGAAGAAGTTGATACTGAGAGAGTGTTGATGAAGAGCGAAATAAATTGACTCTAGCAGGGAGGTACATATAGACCAGTGTACTCCAGGCTGGTCTGTCTGAGTGCATATTTGTGGAGTGTGTGGAGTATAAATAGACTTCCTGCAGATTTGTTTGGGAGTTTTGTGTGCATTGTGTGAGTCATGTATTAGTTCTGTGTGTGTGTGTCTAGAACTTATTGAGACCTCTAATCGTTCCAGCCTGTCCTCCAGATTTCAGCCATATGACCTTATGTAAAAGAGAAGAAGTGGAATGGAAAATTGAAAGAAGAGATGACAGGGGACCAGAGGACAGACAATGTGATAGTTCGGCTTAGACAAGGAGAGATAAGGGAGTGTGGAAAGGGACTCAAAGTTAGGAAGTGTGGGAGTGCAGAGCAGAGGTGGCTCAGGTATTTCACTCTAATGAGAAAGGAAATACATACTGTGTGTGTGTGTGTGTGTGTGTGTGTGTGTGTGTGTGTGTGGGGGTTAGTGATGACAGTGGTGGGCCCAGATGCTGTAAACACAGATACTGTGTCAAGAAATCCTCCTTTAAACAAACACACACTTCCTGTTGTCAGTGCGTCCGATTGTAGTCACTGCTCGTAATTGAGATCTGCTGACAGTTACTACGTACACAAACAATCTGTCCGTACAAACAGTTTGAAAATATGCCTCCTCTTCTAAGACGTGTGTAAAACCAGACTTGTTTTTTTTTTTCCATGCAGCCCAGTGGTGTGCCTTCAAGTCACATTTCCATTTGATTTTTCAGATAGCGACAGTGGAAAAAAAAGAGTGGAGAGTGGGCAGTGGACAGAAATACAAAACTGAAGTTTTAACACATAAGCTCATTATAATAGCAGAATGAGTCACCAAAATAGCCCCAGAAGTAGCTTTAAAGAGGATCAGAGGACCATAATAGATACAAACCACTCGATATGCAATAGATTGTTCTTTCAGATAATTAACTCTCTAATAGCAGACAGCTGCTTTTGTCATCATCACTGACATACTGAAACTAACAATGGCTCGTCTCCGTTATGTGAATAATTAAAAACTGTATATCATGTCATCATGTCATACAGGTCTCAGAAATTGCATGGGATCTTTTTATTTTATTTTTTTTGCAAAAGTGATTTTACTTTCGAGAAAATAACCTTTTGTGAGTAAAACAAAGAAATATTACAAGAAATATTGTGAGTCTGCAGTCAGTTTCACATTAGACAGCAACTTTTCAACCTCACAGACATTAACAACACAATTATTATGTTGAGAGGTCTTGAGTCTTAAGACACACTAACCATTTCAATTCAGCAAAACACGCACACACAGTCCTTATTCAGCCTTTTGTCTGTCAGTCCTCCTGTGTTTATGGGTGTTGATGTGAACGTTTGAGGCAGAATCTTGGAACAATTCATCAGCAAAATGGCCTGCTGAGTTTGTATATCCATACAAACCATAACTGTTTAAATGACACATCCTTTAGCATGGTACACATGAAGCGTGTCGCCCAAACACATCAATATCCCACACGCACTCTATTGTGCCGGCCCTTTGACAGTAGATGTCCGTCACTCAAAAGTGCACAACACTGAAAGAAACTGGAAAACAACCCAAATAGGTCATGTTTACATACACAGTGTATATTGTAAAGGAAGGACAATTTCGTACTATTGTCTTGCTTTTAGATACCAGTGTTTATTTTAAAAAAATTATGTGAACAAAGCAGTCTTTAATAGTACCTACCCTTCCCTTTGGGACCTGTTAAATAAGCTTGAAATTTAATGACAATCACTCAAAAGAAATTTCATCACTAACCCCACACAATGAATTTAACTACACAAAATCCAGCATAATCACTGAAGAGATCTAATACAGTAAAGTGTTTAAACATTTCACTTTAACTAAAAGAGGTTCTCAAAAATCACTTGAAGTGAAAAACTTTTTAAAATTCTAAGCATCTATCACTTCAAAAGAATAACTACCGCATGGTCACAAAATTAAGCCAAGATAAGAAACCAAATACTGCCTGAGGACAAGGGGAAAGGGGAGAGCAATTCTTTAAATAGTGCCTAAACCTGTGTTTCCTCATTTTTTTTACACATCTGCTAACAGTCAGCTTGTCTTGTCTGCTGCTTACTGCTAATTTACCCCCGCATGACTCACATAGAACTGGAGAAACACAGGGGAGAGCGGGTGGTCAGTAAAATTAAAGAACAGAGGGGAAAAAAGCTGCTCTGGCAGCAGGTACATTTCATCCCACATGTGTCTGTGTCAGACCTCATACTTGTAATTAACATGTTGATGGTGAATATGGCGTAGGGTGAGCGGAACAGCGTGCAGCCTGGGTCTTCAGAGACCTGAATGATTCGCCAGACACGCACACAGGTAACTTAAAGCATGAAAACACACCAAAAACATAAATATGCTCTGTGAGGTCTTTAGGAGCCAGCTGCTAAAGTTTTACCGCTCTACCCCTCTTAATAGAAGTCCTGCACAGCAAAGTTGACAGTGAGGCAGTGTCTACCACCACAGTCAGGTGACCTTTTTAACTTCCTCTCTCTAGCATCTGTTGTTCTATCTTGTTTTCCATGTATATTTCATTTTCTCACTTTTTGTGTCAGTTTTGTGAGCATGTTTATGTGGGACATCCCACAAAACAAAAATTCCAAAAGCCAAAAATCTAACAAAGAAACCAAATAGCCATTAGTACAGTAAGGCTGGCAAAAATCCCCTTGGCTGGCGTGTATCCTTCTCCAGCAATTTAACTTATTGAATTATTGTAGATATCAACATCAAACTTGTTGATGCACTCACTTTTTAATGAGTGATCAAGTCATATGTTAAAAAGTTATTGGATTTTGTGCCTAGAACTTTTCCAGAAGTTAAGTGGCTTAGCTGTGGTTAATTGTCCATTGGAGGGTGGACTGGTTATTGAATGAACTAAAGAGCTAACTAAAAAATGTTATGAATAATTTATTAAATATCAATAAAACTGTTGCTATTATCATTCTAGATAGCAATTCACACAGGTGATACCTGAACCTTCACACTTCACAAATATAATTTTACCTTCACTGTTATTCAACAAAAACACATTGTATGTATCCTTAAACAAGCAATAACTGATTTGTTTTGGCATTTGA